AATCAGGCAAAAACTAAGATGGTTTCTCCTAATGGTATCCCAAGACGTGGAGTCGTATATCTACTTGGGCAGTAATGTAGAACAAGATGGGGGAACTGATAGAGATATTTAAATACGAATTCAAAAAGCAAGAGGAGCTTTTAGAGCATTGGAGCATTTGAGTTACACGTTAGGTAGATACATGTTGAAAAAACCTGACCATATCATAGCTACAATGTTCTTGTGCATTGAAACCGGCATGCACAAAGATAGAAAAGCAGATAACACACACACACACACACACACACACACACACACACACACACACACACACACACACATATATATATATATATATATATATATATATATATATATACACACACACACACATGGAAAAGGGTGCTAGAAAATGAAGTTAAAAAATGGAGAGGTCATGCGGAGAGCTGCATGCAAAAGGGACGGATAAAACGACTTGACGCAAGTTGGTTGAGGCTTATATTTCAGAGAAAAAGGGGGGGGGGAGGCCGGGAGAGGGGGACTGGTAAAATAAGGCAGAAGAAGAAGGTGCATTTCAGTTAGAGCCAGTCATTTTTCAAAAAAATATTAGCGATTTCCACCACGGTTACTTGGTGTTGACCCATCGTAACCGAATGCTGATTGGTCTATAAAATATTAGGTTAGTTGCGTATCCTTTACAGGACGTTGCAGAACTAACCCCAACAGCCCCTGGCTGGTTTTCTTGGGCACAATTTTACGTCCAGTAATTTGCCATTGCTTACTGGACGGTCGGCTTTCTTGATACCACTGTCGGTACCAACACAAGGCGGATGGCCCGCAGCTGGGATCGAACCCGGCATCCCAGCATTATGAAGCGTACGCATCGACTTAGCTACAGCGCCGATATAAAATATACACTGTTGAAAAAAAAAGTAGTATCTACAGAAACGCATAATTATCAGAGGGCGCGTTTTAATTAGTTTGTAAAAAAAATAAAAAAATAAAAAATAAAAAATTCATACTTTGGTATGTGAAAAGCGGACTTAAATGATTTGCTTGGGTTATAATGCAACATAATTGTGATCATAGCTCATGATGCGCGCACGAGAAAGCAACACAATTTAGGGTGAATACTACTCACTGCAACTAAAAACCTATAAAAGGATAACGCAACACCAAAACACTCAGTTAATTTTCAAGCTGTCACGAAGAGCGCCTCTATCCTTAAATCTAAGGAATATTGCTACTGGCCAATTTCAGGCAGGAAAATGTCGATGCAAGGTTACCAGGCATCTAAACGTGCAAATGCCACAGTAGCCGCTGTCCAGCCCGTTCTACCGACAGTACGAAATTGAATGTAGAGTGTAGAAGCACTGAAATTGAAGGAAGTCATGGGTCACACACTAAGCTAGCGTCGCGGCCTAGGGCAAAGGAAAGTCACCTGGTGGTCAAAAGCTTTAGCCAAAGACAGCAGAGACATAGTAATACAACAGATCAGGTACTCCAAAAATGAGTTACGGATCCAAAAAAGCCGCTCAACAGTGGCAGCAAGGTCTGCAGATCAACCTCGAGAGCGCCTTTCCACGAGTACTCCCATAGAGTGAGATCTGGCGAATAGCCTCGCTGCGGCTGAGCTTTGTCATAAGATCTGCTTCCAACGTGTTACCCTTTGGCGCTAACATGGCCAAATGGCATGCGACGACCGACCTGACAAGCTCCCTATGCAAAGATAAATAAGAGGGGTAACCTTTAAGGCCGTTAAATATCATGAATTAATCGAGTAACAGATAGTGTATTGATCGGCACTCATAGAAAGAAGTAGAAAGATAGAAGAACACACTAGACAACATAAAAATCGAAAGCTTTAGTTACCGTGCCGGGAATTGAACCTGTCACCTCCAGACGGCGTCTGCGTCCCTATGCAAAGCCAAGTAGACGCTCGAGCACGTATTGTCCGCATGCAAGAAAGCCCTAGGCCAGCGCTTTTTTACATGGCGCTACATTAAGGCCTTGTGGATAAAGCCAGGATGATGGCCAATGCGAGCGTCAGTCTAGAAGTCCATCCTATGCGCTTTCTCAAACAAGGTCGCATATGCTCAACAGATACTTGACTGTGCGAGGGACTGGATACTGGCGGTAGACCTGCATTGTTTCGAAAAGTACTCAGAATCAATCAGAAAGACCAGCCTGAGACCAGACATGGTGCTGCACACTACGGAAAAGCGCCAGTTTATCCTGATAAAGCTTAGCGTGTCGTACGGGTCGCGGATGGAAGAAAATCATTTGTACAAGCTCGAAAAGTACGGTGAGTGGGTAGCCGGTCTGATGAGAGATGAGGCGTACAGAGTAACAATTTTCGCCTTCGAGGCAGGTGCAAACGGACTTATCCCCACCTCCACATACAATGTACTAAAGCGCTTGGGCTTGCCAGGAAATAAACGGTATGGGGAACTAAAACAGCTGGGCAAAGCAGCGGAAAGGGCAGCAACGTCGTGCAGGATGAGCCTCGGTAGACTGGTCTAAGCCACTAGTGGAAAAGATTTTTACATCCCTCCAAAGCTAAAGTGTCCGATAAAATGTCTGTCAGTGTCTCTCTGCCATTTGCCAGAGTCTAAAGTGTGTGCGATGAACCAGCCATAAGCTTGTCACCCTGGTCGTTAAAGCTGGCGCATAATTTGCAACTGCAGTGACAATGTATATCACCAAATCTCACTGTTTAGTCTTGTCCCTGTCCAAACATCCGATAAAGTGTAGAAGAGGATGTCCGAGGCCTGTCTTAGTGAACCAGGTGGGCACTCCTTCCGAGATTGTAAAGGAATATAATGTGGCGACGAAACAATCGTTTCTATTGATGATCCGTGGGCGCCTGCTGTTCATGCTCCGTTGTGAAGTTTTTAAAAATTATTATAATTAATCTTTTGGCACACTCCCAGTTATGTCTAGTTTAACTCTTAACACATTCATAGTTATGCCTAGTTTGGTGCAAGATCTGACAGTGTCCTTGGATACTCAGATACAGACCCGAATTGGCTCGTGTAAGAAAGTGAGCTGACTGAATATCCACAGAAAATAGAATTTAGATTTAAGCTTCTTAGTCACCATTCGGAGGAATAATTTCCAGTTGTCTAGTTTATCCTGTAATACATCCCCTATTATGTTCAGTTTATTTCCCAATACACTCCAGTTGAGTCTAATTTATCCTTCTATACTCTCAGCTATGTGTTTATCCTTCTATACTCTCAGCTATGTGTAGTTTAACCTTCTACACTATCAGCTATGTGTTGTTTATCCTTCTATACTCTCAGCTATGTGTAGTTTAACCTTCTATACTATCAGCTATGTATAGTTTATCCTTCTACACTATCAGCTATGTGTAGTTTATCCTTCTATGCTCTCAGCTATGTGTAGTTTATCCTTCTATGCTCTCAGCTATGTGTAGTTTATCCTTCTATGCTCTCAGGTATGTGTAGTTTTTTCCTTTTACACTCTCAGCTATGTGTAGTTTATCCTTCTATACTCTCAGCTATGTGTAGTTTAACCTTCTACACTATCAGCTATGTGTTGTTTATCCTTCTATACTCTCAGCTATGTGTAGTTTATCCTTCTATACTCTCAGCTATGTGTAGTTTAACCTTCTACACTATCAGCTATGTGTTGTTTATCCATCTATACTCTCAGCTATGTGTAGTTTATCCTTCTATACTCTCAGCTATGTGTAGTTTATCCTTCTATACTCTCTGCTATGTGTAGTTTATCATTCTATAGTCTCAGCTATGTGTTGTTTATCCTTCTATACTCTCAGCTATGTGTTGTTTATCCTTCTATACTCTCAGCTATGTGTAGTTTAACCTTCTATACTATCAGCTATGTGTAGTTTATCCTTCTATACTCTCAGCTATGTGTAGTTTAACCTTCTACACTATCAGCTATGTGTTGTTTATCCATCTATACTCTCAGCTATGTGTAGTTTATCCTTCTATACTCTCAGCTATGTGTAGTTTATCCTTCTATACTCTCTGCTATGTGTAGTTTATCATTCTATAGTCTCAGCTATGTGTTGTTTATCCTTCTATACTCTCAGCTATGTGTTGTTTATCCTTCTATACTCTCAGCTATGTGTAGTTTAACCTTCTATACTATCAGCTATGTGTAGTTTATCCTTCTATACTCTCAGCTATGTGTAGTTTATCCTTCTATACTCTCAGCTATGTGTTGTTTATCCTTCTATACTCTCAGCTATGTGCAGTTTATCCTTCTATACTCTCGGCTATGTGTAGTTTATCCTTCTATAGTCTCAGCTATGTGTAGTTTATCCTTCTATACTCTCAGCTATGGGTAGTTTATCCTTGTATACACTTACAGCTATGTGTAGTTTATCCTTCTATACTCTCAGCTATGTGTAGTTTATCCTTGTATAGACTAATTTTTATGTCAAATTTTAACCCCGGATGGAGCCAGACATTTTTCAAAAATAACTTTGATTCCTAGGTCGACCCAGGTTTAAATAGGTAGCAGGTATAGACCTGGCATGTAGAGTAGCCCGGCGTGATATTGACTCCATCACCCACCAAATGCCGTTTGGTCTATGAATTATAGGTCTAGCCTTTATGCTCCATAAGCCTGAGTCGTGGAAGAGGGTCTTTTACTCACTGACCATGTTTGATTACTGCCAGTCAGCTCATGGTGGAGACAACTGGGTTTATGATAGTATGACTGTCTGTATTTTTTACTTGTATGGCGTATCCTCTGTGCCGTCATGTGACAGAAGACAGATTGGACAGTTATGGTCTCGGATGTCTGCGTACGAGTGAAAGAGCTTTTAAAAAAAGATAATTGCCATTTCATGGTAATTATGATGAAATACCTCGACATGTGGCGTAGATACAGCTCACTTTAACTAAGAGATCTTTTCCAGAAACTATCACCTTGTTACAATAGCGTTTTTGGGATTTATATTTCCTCTACGCGGACACAAGGGCATAGCCAGTCTTTAAACGTGAGGTTATAATGCTGTTGTCTATATGTCTGTTACGCAGTCAGGATTAGTTTACAAGACAAGTGGAGACATAGATGCGGGAGCGTCACGTACAGTAGCCATTACCTGATTCCTCATTTCACTCCTGTCGTGGTCCATTATTTCCACAAGAAAGCTGGTGACATTTTTGATGTTTTCATTACAGTTTCGACTCACTGTGAGATAGCTGCGAAAGGTCACGTTTTATTTAAGTGGAAAATCGTTGTTAAAACTATTGGGATTCCCATTATTTCCCAACGATTCGATTCATGGCCAGATTTTTTAAAGTTTCTGGGTAACCTGTTTACTCAGATGGAAAGCTTTCAAGCTTTTGTCCATATTTGTGTGCTAGTCTAAACAAAGTGGTAGATTCCTTTCTTCACATGTCTGGCACGTGTGCTTTTGTTCCATTATATTTTAGAATGTTGCCAGATTTAGCTCAGTAATGACTGTTGTTTATGTCTTCTCTGCTAAATCATCATCGTCGTTCCCGTGATAATCATCACCATTATCATCTTGGTTTACCATGTAAACGTCACAAAGGGCTCTAGGTCGATTCATTTAATCATTTCTGACTAGTCCAATCCTTTCATTATAGTAAATTAAATCCAGCTCTGCACCCCCAATCTCTCTGTCTCTCTGCTACTGCCTCCCTCTCTATCTCTATCTCTCTCACACACCTCGGCGTTCGTTGTAGTTCTTTTTTTTAAATATATTTACTCGTTTTCTCAATCAATCGTTTTCTCATTTCGGTGTCTGTTTTGTTATTGTGTCTCCTCTTGGTTTCAAGAAGTCTGCTTTCTCTTGTAACCATTGACTGCTCTGATTTCTTCACCGTTCTTGAATTCTTCTCATTTTATGTTCAAAAATTGTATACTCTTTATAACTTTTCGCAGGCACCTGTTTTCGAATGCACTTTAATCTGTCCACATTTAAAACAGTTCTTACTGCAAAAGTAGAATTGGCAAACCAAACAAAAAACAGTCTTTTCTATGACAAAACATGTTTAGTTATATATGGCAGGCCAATGTTTGTATACAACACATGACACTCTATGGATGATGTGATCAAAATGATGTAGACTGTTATGTAGACCCAGAACAATGCTGATACTCACTTTTGTCCTGGGCTGACCAGAGAACCCAGGTACATTTTTAATTAACTCCACCAAATAGTGTGGGATTCAAACACATGTGCAACTCACCGGCATGCAGTCCTTTGCCTCATTAGGTTATTACGGCTTCCACAAACCTAATACTTCGACTCAGCTTTAATGGCTCTTCTACTAAGTGTAAGGTAGTTTGGTGATGGCTGTCACAATGTGACAAGAAGAATGTTGTAGAACTATGAATAGCAGATGGCTGTCACAATGTGACAAGAAGAATGTTGTAGAACTATGAATAGCAGATGGCTGTCACAATGTGACAAGAAGAATGTTGTAGAACTATGAATAGCAGATGGCTGTCACAATGTGACAAGAAGAATGTTGTAGAACTATGAATAGCGAGACCCGGAAACAGACTTTGAGTATCATTGTATAACTTTTAGATCATTAGTGTAAACGGTGATCAGTTCACCAGATAAATAAAAGAGTAGGAGCTGACATTGATGCTAACGCTAACCTCGGTTTTAAAATAAACGCCTCCTGGCGTATTGGGCACATAGTGCTTGACAATTATTGTATAGACCAATCGGCACTCGTTAAGTGCTGTGGTCAACATTAGCAAGGCCACCTTTACTTCACAGGAATTTTCCTTGTACCCACCCATTTAAGCTACCTGAATCTGGGAGCCAAAGTCATTTTTGATAGAAAGTCCAGCTCCGCTCAGATCGGAACCCACTATCTTCGGCTCCTCGGGCAGGTGTCTAGCCACTACATCAGGACGGCTCTCACTGCATCACCGATACACGAGTACCGCCTATATCCGCATATGTACAGGTCCGCAAAACACACACGTTTGTATTTCATTCACACAGTGAGGAAGCTACAATTCACACACAACAATAACTCATGTTTCTCATTATAGCTGTTTAGCTTGAGTAATCCGCTCTGCTGGCGGTTTCTTTGAAAACATCCGAAGAAGTAATGCACGGTCAATTTATAAATAATTTGGAATGACCCTACAAATAGGTTCCACAGTTAGCAGACATGACTTCGTCTTTCTCAGTTGTAACTTTCTTGTTGTATTTTTTGTTCTTCGTTTTCATCTCTTTTTTTTTCCTCTAGAACCACTAAAGATATGAACACACACAAAAATACAAAGTCCGAAAAAAATGTGAGTGAGAAAAATGATAAACATGAAATGTTTGAAATCAAGAGATGGAAGGCAATGGAATTGTCTAGACAACCACTGATGACAAAGTTAAAAGACAAGTACAATCAATATATATTAGTTACATCATGGGAATAGTGGACAGAGAATTACCAAACAAACACTGAAATATAAAACAAATGAACTGATAAAACAAGAAGGTAGAGGACAAGTAACGAGATTCTGTTATCCTGGATATGTCATTGGTTATGGTGGTCATGACCAAGAAATCAGAATTGAGAAAAGAGGTGCCCTAAACTATCTTTAAGAAGATTGGAAAATCACAAATTTCTAGCGAGATAAACAACACATTGAAAATAAATTTGGCTTGTCAAAAAGTATGTATTGTCAACTCTATTGCATAGTACAGATAACTGGGCAATGAATCAGCAAAAAGAAAATCGCATTGATTCTCTCGAGATGTTAAAAGTAGGTTTTATGTTATAAAAAAATAAAAATAAAAATCAAATACTGAGGTTACAGACTGAGAATAAAATGGGAGATAGTTACTGAAAGAAAAAAAAAAGAGAAAGATGTGGGCCTCTTAAAAAAGACCAACACTTTCTGTACACACATGCGCGCACGCGCGCACACACACACACATTAGGTAGATTCCGGTTGTCTGTTTTATACCTGAGGCAGTTACACATTTAGATATTTATCCACAAAAACAATGATGATTAATATTGTTTGTCTCGTCAGTATTTAAAATAAAAAATTAAAGTTGTATTAGTTTGAGACGACGTGTTTCATAGATTGAATTTATTTGAGGAAGATAACATTTCTATGTGATCACATGCATTCCACAGTGAAAAACGTTGACAGCTGGTGTCGTGTAAGATCAGTCACATATCTTAGACCTGGAGTTTTTTAAGTGATGCCATGTTTTGTCCACAGCCACCCTCTGCCCATATGGAGATCGCTGATCGTCTGCTGAAGAGAGTGCTAGACATCACATACGAGACACTTGAAGACCTGGGAGCCAGCAGACGAGACTTGGAGCAAGTTCAGCAGAAACGGAATTATATCCAGAGTTGCTACTTTCAAGCAATTTCCTGCTACTAGATCAAACATCAAGCGATACATGTTCGATTGCTGCAAGCTTCATCAACACCAACCGTTAAAGAAAAATAATAGTAGTGAACTGAACACTACAGTAAATTTTGAAACAGTGGTTATCTTCTCTGACAGAAATAAACAGAGTAAGGTGTGTCAGCTGGATAAACAGTTGGGTCTCTGGCGCTGGAAATATTTTGAGTACATCAATTGTAAGAACATTTGAAACATTGACGTTATAATTATAATCTCTGAAATATATCGGCGGTAGAAAGTGTTCACAATCTGATACTAAAAATATACCAAGATTTTCCAACTTTAGAACACGCACCTTATAATTGTGTTTTTATATTAGTGGTCGTTTAAATTGTGTTATTAGCACAGTAACAAAAATGGTTATTTGGTTATCACATGCTAAAGCTGTTTGTATTTTTATAGGGGACGGAAGTAAAGCTACAACTGTACTTGTGAATAACAAAGTAAGTCGTAAAAAATAGAAAAGCGGAGGTAGCGTTAGTAAAATATAAACAAATTAGGCAATGAGAACTTGAAAATCAAGTGTAAAGCTCTTTAATTTCTCTTAAATTTAAGTCATTACCCCCTCCCCCTCTTCCACCGACTACTGCTCTCTCCCTCTTTGAAGGATTTGAAAATCACTAACTGGCGATATTTTGTTGTTGCTGTAACTTACATTGACATCCCTGTCCATCTGGACTAAAATAGGGAGCAGGAATTGTAAAAGGTAGTGAATAGGGCTAGTGTAATATTTACCACATCATCCTTCAAGTACCAGTACAACTACTAAAATAATGTCACTGCTATCTGTGTTACCATCGGACTAGACAGAGAGTCGTGAGCCAGAAGATTTGGTTCCGCATGGCTAGTGCTGTCGCCACAGACTGGTCAGGTTAGGATGTATAATTTCACTTGCCGACAGAAGAACGCCATAACCTTACCTGCGGTCTTCACATGAGAGCACTATGGTGTAACAGCCCTGGTGTAACAACTATTACTGCTGCTGCTACTTTAAGTGGGTAAAGCAGTTACTGTGACTTAAAGCTCTCTCAGTTCATAGTTTGCCCCCCCCCCCCAACCCCTCCCCCCAAATTCACCGACAACTCTTTCCCTCATTGAAGTAGTTAAGAGAAAAAAAAAAGAAAAAAAAAACACTTGAAAAGCAAACGAACACAGGAAAAAAACACCATAATTAGAAAATGAACGCCATTGTAAACAGCACAGCTTAAAATTCCAACACAGATGAAATAACTAAAACTAAATGAAAATAAATGAAAATCTATAAAATTTCAGCGTAACCATGCAATCGGAAAGTTTAACAATGCAATCATAAGTATGCGAAATGGTCAAATTTAATTATCAAATGGTTTACCCATTTACTTGTTGTTTTGTTTTTTTAAATATTAAGGCAACATGGCTAGTGCTGTCACCACGGCAGAGCAGATGAGGATATTATTTTAGTCCGGGGCAAAAAAAAAAAATTTAACGACTGCGGATTCGAACCCGGGTCCGCACATGAACACAGTGTTCTAACCATTCGACCATGCAGCCACTTAATCGCATCAACGAAAAGAGAACTCAACTATTAGACATGTGAGTCCATACTACTGTGTCGCGATTAAAACACAATTCAAAACCGCAGGCAATTGTTTTCTAGTAGACAGATACTCCAGATATATTAATGAAATAGAAATCGCACGTGTCTAACACGGTTAATGAAGTTAATGTCGCAGTCACTGTCTGCACCGACGTCGAGATAGTCCTTGATTGCCCCCCCCCCCCCCCCCCCACCCCATCGAAGGTTGTTTAAAAAAAAATACAGACAATAGAAATCGTGTTTAATATGGTTATTGTGGCAAAAATAGAGATAGTCTTGTTTGCTGTACCACGACCTACTCTATGTATTAGTATTAGAGAAGGCGTTGGCTGCACGTAACTCGCCGGCGAATGGTAAATACGGCGCATGCATAATTACTAACGTGGCTATAATTAGAAATCACTAAAGTTATAAATATTGGTTGCGTATATTTTGGCATAAATTGTGGTCACCTATCTCTAACAGTGATAGGTTGAATTTCAAACCACGACAGTTCAAAATCCGGTATCACAACAAACATATCCTGAAAATTTCAGCTAAATCGGCTCAGTAGTTTCCGAGTCTATAGGGGTGAAACAAACACACAAACATTGATTTTTATAAATATAGATATATATATATATATAGGGTTAGTTGCGTATCCTTTACAGGACATTGCAGAACCAACCCAACAGCCCCTGGCTGTTGTGTGGTTTTTCTAGGCAAATTTACGTCCAGTAGTGATACACACACACACACACACACACACACACACACACACACACACACACACACACATACATATATACTAGCAGAATAAAATAGTTCCCAAAGGTTACCATTAAAGTGTGTTGATTAGGATGTATCGGCATATCGATTGTGATGAATCTAAAACATTTTATAATTTTATAATTTATAATTTTATATATATATATATACTAGCTGTACCCGGCCACGCGTTGCTGTGGCATAGTTTGGCTAAATGGAAATGAAAGAAAATAGAAAACGCACGTGTCTAATACAATCATTGTCTGCTCAGATATAGAGATAGTCTTTGATCCCCGCCCACCACCACAACTAAATCCACCTACTACTATCTCCGTCATCAAAGGTTTTTGGAAAAGAAAGACAATGGAAATCGCACGTGTCTAATACAGTTAATGTCGCAATCATTCTCTGCACGGATATAGCGATAGTCTGGTTTTCCAACTTTAGAACACGCACCTTATAATTGTGTTTTTATATTAGTGGTCGTTTAAATTGTGTTATTAGCACAGTAACAAAAATGGTTATTTGGTTTTCACATGCTAAAGCTGTTTGTATTTTTATAGGGGACGGAAGTAAAGCTACAACTGTACTTGTGAATAACAAAGTAAGTCGTTAAAAATAGAAAAGCGGAGGTAGCGTTAGTAAAATATAAACAAATTAGGCAATGAGAACTTGAAAATCAAGTGTAAAGCTCTTTAATTTCTCTTAAATTTAAGTCATTACCCCCTCCCCCTCTTCCACCGACTACTGCTCTCTCCCTCTTCGAAGGATTTGAAAATCACTAACTGGCGATATTTTGTTGTTGTTGTAACTGACATTGACATCCCTGTCCATCTTAACTAAAATAGGGAGCAGGAATTGTAAAAGGTAGTGAATAGGGCTAGTGTAATATTTACCACATCATCCTTCAAGTACCAGTACAACTACTAAAATAATGTCACTGCTATCTGTGTTACCATCGGAGTAGACAGAGAGTCGTGAGCCAGAAGATTTGGTTCCGCATGGCTAGTGCTGTCGCCACAGACTGGTCAGGTTAGGATGTATAATTTCACTTGCCGACAGAAGAACGCCATAACCTTACCGGCGGTCTTCACATGAGAGCACTATGGTGTAACAGCCCTGGTGTAACAACTATTACTGCTGCTGCTACTTTAAGTGGGTAAAGCAGTTACTGTGACTTAAAGCTCTCTCAGTTAATAGTTTGCCCCCCCCCCTCCCCCCAAATTCACCGACAACTCTTTCCCTCATTGAAGTAGTTAAGAGAAAAAAAAAAACACTTGAAAAGCAAACGAACACAGGAAAAAAAACACCATAATTAGAAAAAGAACGCCATTGTAAACAGCACAGCTTAAAATTCCAACACAGATGAAATAACTAAATCTAAATGAAAATAAATGAAAATCTATAAAATTTCAGCGTAACCATGCAATCGGGAAAGTTTAACAATGCAATCATAAGTATGCGAAATGGTCAAATTTAATTATCAAATGGTTTACCCATTTACTTGTTGTTTTGTTTTTTTAAATATTAAGGCAACATGGCTAGTGCTGTCACCACGGCAGAGCAGATGAGGATATTATTTTAGTCCGGGGCAAAAAAAAAAAAAAAAAATTTAACGACTGCGGATTCGAACCCAGGTCTACCGCACATGAACACAGTGTTCTAACCATTCGACCATGCAGCCACTTAATCGGATCAACGAAAAGAGAACTCAACTATTAGACATGTGAGTCCATACTACTGTGTCGCGATTAAAACACAATTCAAAACCGCAGGCAATTGTTTTCTAGTAGACAGATACTCCAGATATATTAATGAAATAGAAATCGCACGTGTCTAACACGGTTAATGAAGTTAATGTCGCAGTCACTGTCTGCACCGACGTCGAGATAGTCCTTGATTGCCCCCCCCCCCTAATCGAAGGTTGTTTAAAAAAAATACAGACAATAGAAATCGTGTTTAATATGGTTATTGTGGCAAAAATAGAGATAGTCTTGTTTGCTGTACCACGACCTACTCTATGTATTAGTATTAGAGAAGGCGTTGGCTGCACGTAACTCGCCGGCGAATGGTAAATACGGCGCATGCGCAATTACTAACGTGGCTATAATTAGAAATCACTAAAGTTATAAATATTAGTTGCGTATATTTTGGCATAAATTGTGGTCACCTATCTCTAACAGTGATAGGTTGAATTTCAAACCACGACAGTTCAAAATCCGGTATCACAACAAACATATCCTGAAAATTTCAGCTAAATCGGCTCAGTAGTTTCCGAGTCTATAGGGGTGAAACAAACACACAAACATTGATTTTTATAAATATAAGATATATATATATAGGGTTAGTTGCGTATCTTTTACAGGACATTGCAGAACCAACCCAACAGCCCCTGGCTGTTGTGTGGTTTTTCTAGGCAAATTTACGTCCAGTAGTGATACACACACACACACACACACACACACACACACACACACACACACACACACATACATATATACTAGCAGAATAAAATAGTTCCCAAAGGTTACCATTAAAGTGTATTGATTAGGATGTATCGGCATTTCGATTGTGATGAATCTAAAACATTTTATAACTGTAACTATTGCTCCACTGTTTGATAGATTACCATGAGTCTGTCTCGTGATGT